ATAGTTTCTGTTTTTGGAGTATCCCACTCAATTCCTTCAACCCTATCCAAGTTCTCCAAAAATAAAAACAAAAAAAATAACATTACCGAGGAAAGAATGACTGTGTTCCTGTGCCTGGCTGTGGGGCAATCCACCGGAGAAGAACCTGGGCAGTTCTTCCCGTAGGAGTTCTTCTCCTACGGGTGTAAGTGCTACACAATATTTACAGGTAAAATACCCATTGGTTATTTTTTTACACTGCAACCTGTAAGGCATTCCCCAAATGATCAGTAGATTGCAGGCACAATGCCTAGATCCTGCAGACTGTCAGTACACTGTGTCCGAAACTTGTACAGGCAGGCAGTTACTGAATGGCAGGAAGTATCAATGGACTAATAAAGCACTCTCCAGCACCCATAGGACTCATGTACACTGCAGCTGAGAAACTCACGTTTAGGAGCTGTTCAGCGTTTTTTCAGCAGCCCCTGAACTCTCCCTAATGTTTTCCTATGTGTCCATGTACACATCTTCATTTAGTCGTTTACAGGCATTTGAGTTTACAATCGTTTTTTTGAACGCAGAAAACTTGCGCTCAGCAGCCGATTTTATCAGCGTTTCAAACACAAAACGCTTGTAAATGCGACTAAATGCTGCAAATCGTGTTTATAAGCGTTTTAAATTTTTTCCAACTCTTCCAGTTCCCAATGCTGTCCAGAGCCTTTTTTCATCATGAAAACTGCATGCAAAGCGTTTTCAAGGTACTCAGATGGATAAAACACTGAACACACCATGAACCTATGGAGCTTGTCACACATTGAAATGACCAATTCACACCTCAGACCTCTCCCACCCTTGGAAACAAAATATATGTTAATGACATTCAAATTTCAAATTCCTCATAAAGACCCCCTCCCAGGTGGCCTTAAATACTCCCTCCACCAGACACCTTTCCCAGCCTTGGAAACAAAAGAAATGTTAATGAGCAACTCACACCTAAGTTAATTTCAACACATACTGCTATCTCTGCTTCTACTCTGTATATTTCTCTGAAACAGTCTGAAATAGTTAATAATTTACCACTTTTCAGTGCCTTCTGGGCATTTGGGAGGTTCTCCTGTGCTTATTTTTTTAAAAACGCTTCTAAACACAAACGCACATAAACGCATTATGCAAATGTGGCTAAAGAGACTTTTTAACCTACGTTTTCCAGCAGTCAGTTTCCATCATTCAGAAGTGTCCCGTGTACAGTTTATTGAGAGCTACAACTCATCAGCTGTGGAGGCCAGTGGTAGTTCATTCATTTACAGAGCTCTGGTTTTTTAATTTGTGACAATGGGTTCTGGGAGAAGATCACCTGGCCCCATCCCTCAGGGTGAGGGGATCAGGGGGAGAGGCTGCAGGAGCTGGAACATGTTACACCATAAATATGGACTGAATGTGTAACATGTTACAAAGGTGACCTTATCCTTTCAGTAATATAAAAAATAAACTAAAAAAATAGCTCTATGAGGAAGACAGATCCAGAAACATCAGAAACTGTCAAATAGCCCCTGACATTATTATACAGGATTTATATAGTGTCAACAGTTTGCACAGCGCTTTACAATATGGGGGTAGACATAAGTTACAATACAATTTGGTACAAGAGGAAACAGAGGGCCCTGCTTGTTAGAGCTTACAATCTATTATTATTATTATTTATATAGCGCCAACAGTTTGCTCAGCGGTGTACATTATAAAGGGAGACAGTACAAGAGATAGTACAGTAACAATACAATTCAATACATGAGGGGTTCGAGGGCCCTGCTCCTTGGAGCTTACAATCTAGGAGGGAGGAGAGAGTGGTACAGGAGGAAATAGCTGTGGGGGATGGAGTGGTAGGAAGAGTGGAGGAGTTCAGTAATTAGCTGAGGACGGGGTAGGCTTCCCTGAAGAGATAGGTTTTCAGAGTGCGCCTAAAGGTGAGGAGAGTAGGTGATAGTCTGGATTGGGGTAGGGAGTTCCAGAGGATGGGGGAAGCCCTGGAGAAGTCCTGGAGATGGGCATGGGAGGAGGAGACCAGGGAACTAGAGAGTAGGAGTTCTTGTGAGGAGCGGAGAGTACGTTTTGGGTGGTATTTGGATACCAGATCGGTGATGTAGTTTGGGGCATTATTATGAATAGCTGTATAAGTCAATGTTAGCATTTTGAATTTTATCAGTTGGGCAATTGGAAGCCAGTGGAGGGATTGGCAGAGAGGGGTGGCGGATACGGAGCGGTTAGTAAGGTGGATGAAAAAAAGAACAAACAAGGGCGAACTCTCATCGTGCATTACCGTGGTATACCACGTATTTATTGAATGGACAAATGAATATATACTCACAAACCAACGATATTAAAAGCAGTGTAAAAAGGTCCACAAAAACAGTCACATGTGCTAAGTCTGTGATGCGGATGAGCTGACGCGTTTAGGGAGCTAAACCCCCTTCCTCAGAGCTCCCGAAACACGTCAGCTGACTTCCATCATCCAATCACATGCAAGCAAAAATGCTGTTTTTTTTAAAATGTTCCTTCCACGTGATTGGATATTCCTTGCAAAGTGAAGCTTTATCTCATTTACTAACTCTGGAGCAACTACACTTTGCAAATGGCACAGTTTATTTGTCTTTAGTAAATCAACCCCATAGTCTGCTCTGTTTGGCTAGTTTTAGACATTTGTAACTTCATCAAGAGTCCTCATTGGAAGACTTGCCTCTATTTCTTTTTCTTTTCGAATGACAATTCAGATTTGTAAATGTTTGCCTTACCTTTAATTCTGGTCGGCATGAAAATGAGTGAGGACACAGACAGCAAAAATAACCTGAGAGGGTCAATGACCCTTCCCTTCTTTATACAAAACAAAATTAATTTGGCTTTATTTACACCTTATTTACACATTGTATGTCAATTATCTCTAGCCTGTTCCTATTGATTGTAAACTTAGATCCGCACAAATGTGTTTCCTTGAATTCTGTGACACGTATTTACTGTGCCCTGTGAGTAGGCACTGCTGTGTCACACATTTTACAGAGCGTGCCGTCTGAACTACAAAGGTGCTGAGAGGAGGGTTTCAGGGGGTGGAGTCAGCAAAGGAATCAAAACGTGCAGGGAGCAAGGTACCATGGGATATGTAGTCCTTAGAAACAGAAATTAAAGTGGAGTTCCACCCAAAAGTGGAAGCTACGCTTACCCGCCCCCCCCCCTCCCCCCCCACTGCCACATTTGGCACGTTTTGGTAGGGAGGGGGGAGTGGTTACTTGGTTTTGACAGGTACCCACTCCCACTTCTGGCTCAGTTCACTGCAGCAAACTGAGACAGACGTTCGGGCCCCCCCACAGCCCTCCGGGACATTAAAAATGGTCAGTGTTGATTGAAAGAGTGAAGTTCCACTTTAACCTCTTCCCGCTGGATGTATGCATATATGCGGCCACTCAGAGGGTGGGCTTTACTGCAGGGAGGCAGCATATATGTGTCCCAAATGTAACTTTTTCTGTGCTGCATGTGCCTGGCGGGTACCGGATAGCTCCTGATGCATACTTGTGATCGTGAGCTTTCCAGTCATGTGACTGCTGTGACAGCAAATCACAGCAGTCACATGATTGGAATACCCACCTCTGCCTCCCAGCATTCAGAACCTCTTAAAGGGCCGGTAGACGACAGTGAAAAGGGGTAAAAGGTTTAGTAAACCCAGGACCCTGCATTCACTATATCTGGTCTCCAACAGTATACAGAAGATGGAAATGCAACTATTTTAGTAAATATAAACTGTTAAATACCTTTTCTCATCAACAGTTATAGTAGTCTTGTGACTTTTATCAGTGTCCATCAGAGCACCGGTTTAAAGCTTGTAGGAGGCGCTTTTCTCTAGGAGGATTTGGATCCCCTGACATCAGACTGGACCATGCTGATTGGCCCTGTGCTGATCACATGCACTCTCCAAAGAAAAATAAAAACTCTAGCAATACACACCAAACTGAGCATGTACAGTGTCTCCACATGGTATGTTCTATCAAGAGAAAAGAGGAAGACACTGGAAGAAAGGGAGGATCAGAGAAGATAGGATCAAATAACCTTTTTACACAATGCAGAGGATTAACCCCTTAGTTTCCACAGTGTGTATAACCAGCATGCTTTACTGCATATACAGACTGATTTTATTGTTGTGGGTTTAATAACACTTTAACCGCTTCCCAACCGCCCTATAGCAGATATACTGCTAAAGGGCGGCACGGGTGCGCAAAATCACGTATATATGCGTAAATTTGCATTTTTGGGTAGGGGGTGCCCTACCCGTGCCACATTTGTGGCCGCGGCTGTCAGTCACCGGGTCCTGGCTGGTGATTACTCTCCGGCACCCAGTGATTGACGAGAATCTTCGACGGCGAGAACAATTGTATGTAAACAATACAGTTCTCCTCCCTGTCAGCTCGTGCACATTGCTTTGGATGGCTGTGCACAGCACAGCCATCCAAAGCAGTGTGATTACAGTGAAGCACCATTACTCAGGAAAATTTTTTTTTTTCTCTAATCAGGTAAAAATGAACACTTTCATAATTTATCCCCAAATCAATAGGCTTGTTTCTGAAATGTAAAAGTTGCTGTGGTCCAGAGGTGATATACAGGTGTGAGGGCTGAAGAGGGTAAATATATGTAAAACTTAGGCCTCATGCACACTGACAATAATATTTAACTCCCCTAGAAGCCAGCAGTGTTTTGGCATTTACACACGTTTACCCGCATCAAGCGCTTGGGTGTGAACTGCTTCCCGGCCGTCCTATAGCAGAAATACTGCTACAGTGCATCAGAGGTGTGCAAAATCAAGTATCTATACACGATTTTGCAGGTCCGAGTAGGGAGCAAGCGCGAGCTGCACGTGCACCCTATCCACGCTGCTGTTCGTGCCCGCAGCTGTCAATAACCGGGTCCCGGCCGGTGATTACACGCCGCCGCCCGGTGATTGATGAGGATTTCCAACGGTGAGGAGAACTGTATGTAAACAATACAGTTCTCCCTGTCAGCTCGTGCACATTGCTTTGGATGGCTGTGTACAACACAGCCATCCAAAGCAGTGTGATTACAGTGAAGCACCAACACACAGCACATAGTAAAACAGCACACAGTTAACCCTTTGAGCGCCCCTCGTGTTAACCACTTCCTGCCCAGTGCCATTAGTACAGTGTGAGTGCTTTTTTTTTTAGCACTGACCACTGTATTGGTGTCACTGGGGATGTCAGTGACTACAAGTCAGTCCCCCCCCCCCCAGTGTCAGAATGTCTGCCGCAGTCCCGCTATAAGTGGCTGATCGCCGTCATTACTGGTAAAAATAATAATAAAAAAATTCCAGTATATATACCGCCATTTGTAAACGCTATAACTTTCACGTAAACCAATTAATATACATGTATTGGGATTTTTTTTTTTTAGCAAAGACATGTAGCAGAATACATTTTGGCCTAAATTTATGACTAAATTTTTTTTTACTGGACATATTTGATAGCAAAAAGTCAAAAATACTGTTTTTTTTTCTCAAAAATGTAGGTCTTTTTTTTTTATAGCGCAAAAAATAAAAATCGCACAAGTGATCAATTACCACTGAAAGAAAGGTCAATTTGTGGGCAAATAACCAACGTAAATTTCATTTGGAAGCAGTGTTGCATGACTGTGAAATTGCCAGTTAAAGTAACACAGCACCATAATGCAAAAAATGGCCTGGTCAGGAAGGGGGGTAAATCCTCAGGAGGGAAAGTGGTTAAGGAAAGTACAGAGTGTTTGTACCTTACAGAGTAGGCCATATTGAAGGTTCTGCTACCTGCAGTACAACAATTCTTCTTTAACTAGTCAGTCTACAGTAAAGTGAAATCCTCTTGATTTTTACAGGTTATTGGACTTTAAACATTATCAATGTTCTCTTCAATGGTTTACTAAATAAGCCTGGAGGCGTGGGAAGCATAGCAAACCTTGGCTTTAAAAAAAGAAAACTAAAATGAAATGCTATGTGAAGAATGCATATGTTGTGACGTACAGCAGGATGAGAATGCTTCTCTTTTACATTTGTAAACAGAAGTATTCAGCTCTCACAATGTGTGCCATACAATACGTAAAAAGCGTTGTTTTCATAGGTCCTAATAACAATGCATTTTACTTCATAGACAGGGTTGGTTTTCTGCTCAGATGTTCTAGGTTAATTTAGCTTTAGGCCAGTCGCACACAGACGTAAGAATTTACTGATGCTTATGTTCAGGATCTTGTTGACAAAAATATCCTGATTAAAATGTACCGTAAAGACCTTGCGTAAATGCTCGCAAGTGTATACAAGTATAAAATTATTTTTCATTGCTAGTAACTCAGTATACACATATATAACATGTGACCTCAATGCACTGTTTAATTGGGCATCTATGTGGCAAATGAGGTTTAATGTTGATAAATGTAAGGTTATGCACTTGGGGGCTAAGAATATGCATGCATCATACATACTAGGGGGGGTACAACTGGGGGAATCAATGGTGGAGAAGGATCTTGGAGTTCTGGTAGATCACAAGCTTAATAATGGCATGCAATGCCAAGCTGCGGTTTCTAAAGCGAGCAAAATCCTCTCTTGTATTAAAAGAGGTATAGACTCCAGAGAGAGAGATATCATATTACCCTGTACAAATCATTAGTAAGACCTCATCTGAAATATGTAGTTCAGTTTTGGGCACCAATTCACAAAAAGAACATTGGGGAACTGGAGAAAGTACAGAGAAGGGCAACCAAACTGATAACAGACATGGAGGAGCCCAGCTATGAGGGAAGATTAGAGGAACAGAATTTATTCTCTCTTGAGAAGAGGAGATTAATGGGGGAATATGATTAACATGTGTAGAGTTCAAAATCGGTGTAGAGTTATTCACCCTGAGGTCATCACAGAGGACAAGGGAGTACTCTTTACGTCTGGAGGAAAAGAAATTTAATCTCCAAACACGGAAAGGTTTCTTCACAGTAAGAGCTGTGAAAATGTGGAATAGACTCCCTCAAGAGTTGGTTCTGGCCAGCTCAGTGGATTGCTTTAAAAAAAAGGCCCATTCTTTCCTAGGTGTAGGTAAAGTTGATCCAGGAAATATCTGATTGCCTCTAGGGGGATCAGGAAGAAATTTTTTTCCTCTGCAGGAACAAATTGGATCATGCTTTGCTGGGTTTTTTTTGCCTTCCTCTGGATCAACTGTGGATATAGGATTATAACTTTTTTTTTTGGTTGAACTGGATGGACTTTTGTCTTTTTTCAGCCAGACTAACTATGTAACTATAGGTGTATAAACACGCATACGTGCGTAAATGACTGCACTCAGACCTAACATTTTCTATTTTTGTTTTATGGCTCTGTACTCATCGCTCTGTTACTGATCTTTACACAGCTGTGTGTATGGTTCCATAGACAATAATGCATCTATATCCAGATCAGTAAAAAAAAGTGGCATTTTTTACTCCAAAGTGCAAGGTGCCTAATTTGGTTGTTCTTGTTCTTTACCATCATATCTCTGACTTGAAGTTCAAGAACTTCAGCCAAATAAACAATTGAAATTCACTAATGTATAACTGTTTTACTTGTTAGAGCATATGTAATATTGTTCAGCTAGTCCTATGGTTCACCTACATTCCTGCCACCCTGTGTAGCTAGAAAGGTATCACTAGTAGTTTCTGTTGGAGTTCCCTTTATCACTTGTCTGCTCACCGAATTATAAAAGAGCATCATCAGATTCTCAATGCCTCCATCACCCCAGGAGATGGAAACTAGGAGAAAAGAGAAAAAGGGAAAATGAGAAGGAGGGTAGTCAAAGGAAGGAGGAGATGGCTTTGGAGGTGTCACCGAGCTGGAGAACTGTCCTCAACATGGACGCAGAAGACAAACGTGGGGGATTTTCAAAGATCATGACTTGTGAGATCCAATGCTTGACTTCCAAAAAGGGAACAGTCTAGATTTTCCATGTGCAAGCAATTACTGTACCTTTTTGGCTGCAGTAAAAATATGCCTGTCAACTTCAAATTGGTTTTTAGCACATACAGGGGTTGGACAAAAAAATTTAAACACTGCATGATTTACAGGTGTGAAAGTGACAACATGTTTTGCGGTGAAAGTGGAAGTGATGTTACACACTTTTGCTTCTGCTGTGTGATGAGACACCTAGCTAACAGGTAGGAAGCCTCACTTTCATCATTCACTGCAACGTCACCAGACTGAGATTGAGCTCTGCAGTCACCTTTGCAGCAATTGTTTTCTTATCCTGGGTCACAATCCTGCGCAATGTCCGTTTGTCTCTTTCGGTTAGTTGACCATGTTCACCTCGCTTATGCTTATCAGACGATGTTTTCCTGGGATACTGTACCTTGCGAAAAATGGCGAATAAATTGGCAACTTCAGTCACAGAGGCATCAGCTAAGCGGCACCAACAATTTGCCCTCTTTGAAGCTCAGTAAGCTCTGACATGACTAGTAGCCTTTGCAGTGAATAACGAAAGTGAGGTTTCCCACCTGTTAGCTAGGTGTCTCATCACACAGTGGAAGCAAAAGAATGTTAAGTCACTTCCGCTTTCAACGCAAAACATGTAGACACTTTAACACATGCAAATCATGTAGCGTTTCCATTTATATGTTTAACGGCTGTACTTCAGACTATTTAGTTAAATGGGCCTCACAGGCATTTTTGCAAAAAGACCTCCCTGTGGCCATATAAATAATACGATAGGTGCTGTTCCAAAAATGTCTTCAGGCAGGTTCAGGAAATTTGGATAGTAGGCTGGAATTGTACGCGATATTCATGAAGGAATCAAATAACACCAAAGGAGGAATTTGTACTTGGCCTTCACTGCCAAAACATAGGCACAACAACCGGCCATACTGCCCCAAATCTAATTCTAGTCCTGGAATGAAGGAATGAAGAGGCTAGCGTGATGTGTCCAGAGTCTCTTGGATCATGCGTAAGCTGCAAGGGAGGACAGGTCAGACTCATTATACACCTGTGATTGATTAAAACGTGCTTAAAGCGGAACTTCACCCAAAAGGGGAAGTGTGGCTTGTTTGCATTCTTCCCCCCTCCACTGTCACATTTGGCACTTTTTTTGTGGGGAGTGAGTACCTGGTTTTGACAGGTACCTGCTCCCACCTCCGGTCAGATAGTCGTGATGTTTGGCCCCCCCTCCCCCCCCCCCCCGCAGCCTTCTGGGACACATCACAGGTCCCAGAAGAGTGGAGGACCATTCACAAAGTGCAGTGCGGCTGGCGTATGCGCAGTAGGAAACTGGTTGTGAAGCTAGAAGACTTCACCGCTGGCTTCCCTTACCTACGATGCCAGTTGAAGAATCGGCTCGGGGGAGGACATTGCTGGATCCCTGGACAGGTACGTGTCCATGTATTAATATAAAGAAGAAACATTGCTATCATAGTTAGGTGCAAGCACCTGATCTTTCAATATCTCCGTCTCATTTCATATACACTGTAGAGTGTGGATTTTAAACCAAAAAGCTTACGAAAACAAAATTGCAGTTGACTAGTGCAGACCTGCCAGAAAGTGTTTTTTAATAAATCCTATGCGGGTAGTAATAATCACTAAATTAGTGAATGCAAAATTGTATTTATTAGATCACATAGATCTTGAAAAAGGTAGACATTTTATCAGCAGCACTTTTGTCATGTTGTCACAGCGTGAGGAATGTACTGCCGATAACGGGCAGCTGTCAGCAGCACTTTTGTCATGCTGTCACAGCGTGAGGAATGTACTGCTGATAACTGGCAGCTGTCACAGAACAGATCGGCCCTGATGGTCAGTGCCCTGCAGTACCACCCAGCAATGCCTCCCACCAGTACCCATCAGTGCCTTCCACTTGTGCCCAGCAGTACCACCCATCAGAGAGTGCTCCCCATCAGTGCTCCCCAGCAGTGCTGCCCAGCAGTTGTGCCCATCAGTGCTGCCAGTCAGTGCCATTAGTCAGTGCTGCCAGTCATGGCTGTCAGTCAGTGCCGCCTATCAGTACCCATCAGTGTTGCCTATCAGTGACCATCATCCATCGCTGCATATCAGTGCAGCATCATCAGTGCCTCCTCATCAATGCCCACCAATGCCGCCTC